CGGGCCTGCGGCCCGACCATTTCTGTCACGCGATTTTCTGAAGAACATGGTCGGCTGGTGTAGCGGGCCTTCGGCCCGCTTAAACCCGTCGTCATTGAGTTTGCCCCAAAGACTCGAGGAAGGGATGTAACGGTGAAGCACCGCGACTTCAACCCACCCTTCTGCTTAGGAAACGTTTTTTGGGGGTTAGGGGAAAGTTTTCTTTCTATTTTGCGGTTTTCAGGCCTTTTTTCTACATCTTATTGTTCACTATGGCAATTTTTAGCTTATTTTCGTCTTAAGAGACCCTCTAGCGCGTAAACAGTTAGAGATAAAACGAAACGGGCGAAATTTTTGCCCAAACACGCCTACTTCGATGAGTTAGCCCTTAGGAGAACATCTAATATTTTCGAAAATTAATAAATTTATTTTTGGGACACTTTTGTGAGAGAAACTCACTCTAGCGCCCCAACAGTGAGAGATAGAGCAAAACGGGCGAAATTTTCGCCCACAGGGCTCTACTTTCACAAGTTACCCCTTAGGATGATCCCTAAGGCTAGACGGGTCTTACGAGCAATCGGTTTGCATTACGAACTATTTGTTTGTAAGCTTACGAACAATTAGTTCGTAATACAACGCTTCAAAATCCTTCGTAAGCTACGAACGTTTTGGTTTGCATTACGAACCAATAGTTCGTAAGCGATTTACAGTGCACCCCAAAAAAGTTTTCGAGGTACGGAGCCTAAGTGGTACTTTCGAATTTTGCCTAAATTGCTCGGTTTTCGTACAGTTAAAATCGGACGTCCATGCTACCTTTTACCCCCTCCCCCCTCTCGTCCATCACCGTCCGTTTTCGGTGACCCCCTCCGCCCCCCCTTCGACACCGGACGTACTTTATGGATGGTCCCTTATGAGTACGCGGTCATTTGGAGAAAGGGTGAAAGGTGAAAGTTAGGTTTCGGAGTGTACAACATGTTCAAGCGGCCTGACCACCATGTTCACCGATGACATTTCACGTGTCGACTATTGTTTCCCGTAGTATAAAGCATGAGGAACACGCGGAAGGGTGTGTTCTCGGGCGTGTTTTACTAGGACTGTCAGAGCGCGCGGCACCGGGGGACGGCAGGTGGCGCGGCCGCCCAGATCGCGCAGCTATTGTTACTCCACCCGCCCGCCCTCTCACCCTCTCTTTTTCTGGTAGTTGTTTTGTTGTCAAGAAGCCAGCGGGGGGCGGCGGTCCTGAGTTTTAACCACAGATGAGGGCACAGAATTTAAGGTACGTGAAATATTAGCGGGATTTGGAGAAATGCCTGCGTCATGCGTCCATTTCGGGTACATAAATCGGGTATCATTTACCTCGTTAGATCATGAGTGTTCCCGAGACTCCCACCAAGTCCCCGGCCAAGAAGCGGTTGCGTTATGCGCCGCTGGTCGTTGGCTCCGAAAAAAAACAAGCAGGCCCGCCCTTTCGCCAAACGAAGTTGCCAGCTTCGCTTCGCTGCGCCGGCAACTCCGTTCGGCAGGGGCCGGGCCTGCTTGGCCT